CAGTCCGTTTTGGATCTTGGGCCACATCTGCGCTCCCCACATGTTCACAGCGTACACGATGACCACCATGGCGAAGACGAGAAGTGTTCCTTGGTATGGCTGGGGCTCATAGTTGGGGAAATTGATCCCGACGAGAGCTTGGATAATGGTTCCTGTCAGGAATGAACCTGAGGCATTTCCGGCTTGCCAGGACAGCGTCGACATCCAACCTACGTTGCGAATCAGCTTTCAGTTAGATGGTTACTGAGGGCACTCGAATATAATCGAGGTCATGTGGCATACCGGTGAAGTAGCTCAGAAACTGCTGATACTTGGGAGGAGCAAATTCTGAGACCCAATGGTATTGGCCTCCGCTGATGGGAGCCCTGTGAACGGTTCATTAGTATACGCAATGGTAAAGCGTGCAGAATGGGGACTCACATTGAAGCCATCTCAGCCAGTGATAACTCTACAAATCCGAAACCAATGAAGGTCCAAACGTACGCCCAGAAAACACCAGCAAGTCCTCCATCAATGAGACCTTGAGTGTTTGCCCTGGAGAAGCAGGAGAGGTAAGCACTTGGGAGCCAAAGTGGGATTGGAAGCCGTAATGTTGACTGACATCATCAAGTATTCCCATACTGCGGTCAAGACCATTGCAAAGCTGTAAACAGACAATGGCCGGTAGCTTCGCTGTCCGAGATATCAGCATTTCCTTGAAGTGTCTCGAGGTCTGTTGGGATAATCTTACTCTGAGTTCCTGAATCTTGCCCATCCTGAACATGTCCTTCTGGTCATTCCTGGTGAAACCAGGGCGACTAGGATTCGCCTGGTTGTAGAGGTCATCTCCAGCTTCAGTGTCGTCGACACCATCAAGGCTGTATTTTGTCTTGGAGACTTCAGTAGAGGAAGCTTGAAACTCCGTTTTGCTGGATACGCCAATGGCCTCGGCCTCAATCTTCTCGGCCATGGTAGCGATGGGGACAATACCAAGTTTACAGCGCGAAAACCCTAGCAGGATGCCGGAAAAAGGTGCTATCGAAAAAGTCGCGAGGTGGGACAGGTTGACAAGAACTGGGGAGATATGGACAGACGATAAAAGCACGCTAGCATGCGGCAAAGCAGATGGGTTGTCTTACCCCAGCATACGTAGGCGAGCAGGCCGATGCCTGAGGAGTGGTCTGGAATGCATGCAGTTCGTACAATCGCCTGGGCGTACAGAAGCCGCTTTTGGGAGGGAATTGGGATTCAGAGCCGAGTTGGCTGTAAGCTGATTGGCAGATGCAGGCAGGGAGCGGGCGGGAGACCTGAGGCTTGATGAGCTTGAACGGAGAAAAGCAAAAGTAAGGTTGCGCAAACGATGGACACCCAGTAGCGCCCTGCATCCAGCTTATGCATGGCGTATCTCTCTCGGCTGAGCCCTTGGACCATCCCGCGCCATTTAACGCCAGTCCCGTTGTTGGCACCCCAAACCTTGCCCCGGCTCGTACCCAGGACGACGGACTCGGCTCCGCAATTCGTACGGTATCTTTCTGTCCATGGGGTGGGGAATGGCTCGGTGGGCTTGTGGCATGATCTCCAAGCCTTCTGCTACATTTCGTCTTTTTCAGAATGACTGGGCTAAGCGGAGTCCCACGCGTGCCCATGGTTCTCTCCGCTTAGAGCTACCATAATCATAATGAGTAGCGTTGCACAACGTCTTTCTGAAACCGGTCGTGACACCGCCTATCAATTATGCTTTGACAGGTAAAGATTTGCAACCGATGAAGATAGATAAGAAAGCTCGTTCTAGATGCACCAAACGCGCGAGCCCTGTATCTCTTCACTGCAACTGCCGAGAATCGGACGTAAAGTTGAACAAGGCCGTGGTTAGCTTCAGCTGGTTAGAACTAATCATGATAGTGCGTTCAGTATGCAGGTTCTACCCCAGATCCATCAGAGTTTCTGCCCCTCAACCCCGATCTCGACCACTTGATCCAACCCCTGATACGGCGGGACATCTAGCTCGTACTTCTCCGCTATGGCGGGGCTGAGAAACCTAGACACAATCAGTCAAGCTCAAGGGGTATATTAAGGATGCTCTTACCGTCCGCCAATGAAATGTCTCCCTTTGAACCATTTGACTAGAGGCTTCGGCGCAGTCAAAGAAATGAGAGCCTGTGGTTGGAAGCCCTTCCCAGGACCGGAGTCTGGCGGTCCATCTTCAATGTTCCAGGAAGAAGGCGCATCTACCGCTAGCACCGGAATCTTGGTGTCCCGGAGAGCCTCGATGACTTTGGGAAAGGGTTCGCGAACTTCACCGGAAAAGGAGAAGCCTGGAAGTCGAAGGATTAGATTGTTAAAGGGGCGTTGACAGAACCGCAGGGCATGCTGATACTTACCGAAGATGGCGTCAACAATGTGGTCAGTTTGCTTCACAGCCGAATCGAAGTCCTCAGTGAACGGGATGTCGAGGTCTTTCAACTGCTTCGTGAGACGCTAAGGCAACAAGTCAACACGGGCGTCAGCTCCATGAGGCGAACCTCGTACCTGATAGAGTTCGCTCTTGCTCTGCTTTGGGTAGTACATTGTAGGCTGGTACCCGTAGTGGTAGAGGTGACGAGCTGCCACGAGGCCGTCTCCACCTTGAAGAAAATTTGAGCACATTGCCCACATGTTCATCTGAGAATAGTACCTACCATTGTTTCCAGGTCCACAGGCGACTAGAATTCTCTTCCCTTGGTTGAGTGGTTGGAGCTTGAATACTGTTTCGATGAGTTACGTCACCTGAGAACGAGTTGTTCATCATTCTTACCAGCTTGTGAGACTGATAATCCAGCGAGCTCCATCAGTTGATCAATAGAGAAAGCCCCAGAGCTCATCAGCTCTTTGTCCAGAGCCGCAGCGCTCTTTGCCGAGAGTGTCTAGGGGATTGGTTAGGCAGAGACTCAATACAGCTCTTGAAAGGTCCATACCCTCAAAGTCATTCTGGCAATGAGTGAGTAGAGACAGCAAATGAGATGTTAAAGTTCAATGAAAAGATTAGGACGTTTGATGATGCTGGCCGAGGAGGCAATCCGGATTACATCACACCACGTCGACGAGCAATGCCAAGCTAAAATGGAGCTTGAGAGTCAACAACTGGCCCTTAGCAATGGAGTTTCTGTAGAGTGCAACTTCGATAGGTCTCCTGGCCGTTGCTACTTGTTCTGTTGCAACAGCAGAAACCTTAGAAATAGAAGTAGATTCTGATGCTGGATCGTTTATATTCAATCCCAGAGCCACCGAATCGGGGAATTGTCCCCGGCGAAAGCATTTCTCCATCCCCGTCTTGGCGCGCTCCAAAAGTTCAGCAACCTCACCATTGAATCCGCCCTTCCATCCACCAATCCACAGCATCATGGTTCTCAGAATCCGCCTCTCGCGCTTCGGCAAGCGCCACGACCCGTTCTACAATATTGTCGTCTCGCACGCACGGTATGTAGCCCGCCTAGGGTCCATCCCATCCCATTTCCTCTTACACGATGTTAAGACAACACTCGCTCTAAACCCGGCAATGCCCTCAACAAAAGCTGGAATTGACTGCTTGCTATCACAAATTTTTATACTAACACCTCCCAGCACTGCCCGCGACAGCAAACCCCTCGAAGTCCTCGGCACCTACGACCCCATCCCGCAACCCCCTCCCCCAGGCTCGGTCTCCCGCCGCGCATTTAAAGAAATTAAGCTCGATGCCGCGAGGGCTCGGTACTGGATCGGTGTGGGTGCACAGCCAAGCGATTCAGCGTGGCGGCTGTTATCAATGGTAGTCCTACCCGTCTATCTGTGCTGCACTACAGGGACTTGAACAGGAGCTGATGATCTTGCAGATTGGGATTCTAGAACCACGTTTCCGCGTTGCGCAGATAAAGCAACAAGTCGTGACTGCAGATAATCCACTGGTGGCTGTGGATGCGACGCGGAGAGCGGCTGAGGCGACGGCGCGGAGAGCGGCTGAGGCGGCGGCAAGGAAGGCCAAGAAATCTGCTGCTAAGGCGACAATTCCTCCACCGGGCATGGGACACATGGGTCGTGGTGGCACGTCGGGTGTCGTTCCATTCCGCGCTGGTGATTGGAAGTGCGGCTCCGACGGCTGCGGATATCACAACTTTGCGAAGAACGTCAGCTGTCTCCGCTGTGGTGCTAGCCGTACCAATGCCGCGATTCCGGCTGACTCGGGAGCAAAAGACAGTATGAGCACTCAATGAAGGGAGGGGGAAGTCTGAGCTGCATTGGATGGCGTTTGGGACAGCCGCGCTGTGTCGCGGCTTGTGTATAGAGTACGACCGGCGAGACGTGGGTGTATGATATTGTGCATATCGAGAGAATCAATGCCAAAGGAAGGCGAAATTACAACGATATAAGATTCGGGCCGGAAGAAGTTATGTGTTAAGTCGATGCTGAATCTCACAACATTTGAATCTAGCCATACTGATACCAAATCACCAAGCTCTGTAAAGGGCTTTCTCACCTACGCATCTGTCTCTGCAAGGTTTTCATAAATTGCTCATGGTCCACCAATCTACCAATTCCTCCACTCAAGGTGTCAAATCTATTCCGTGGACTACAGCTCTTGGGTTGTCTAACTCTCCGCCTCCATCATATCACAAAGTTGTTGTGGTTTCGTTGCCTACAACGTCTATGACAGATCTGCGGGACGTACTTTCCTGAGTATTTCGTACGCCGCTACTCATTCTGCACCGACTTCTATTCAGAGCCTAGGTTCTGTCGGATCAATTTTCAGCGCCGGCTATAGTTCCGACTCTTTCTTTTTCTTAGATCATTACTTCCTTCAAAGCATCCTGCTTTTCCCCCTTGGCGAAATAGATACAGAGTTACTACGCTTTGCCGAATTCCTTGTCACAAACAAATATTCTTCTGCCAACTTTCCGTGAACACCTCGTTTGTTCATCAATCACCCATTCACCAACCAAACTCATTAAATGCGTCCCATGAACCAAACTCCTCGATGCATTACCTCTCCATCTCCGCCAAATCTCAAAGCCGGTGTGGTTTAGTCGGTTATAATGTGTACCGTCGCCTTTCGGAGTTACATTCGGAGACCTGCGTAGTGCAAGACCCAAGTTCGATCCTTGGCGCCGGCCACCATCCCCATTTTTTCCCCTTCTCATCATCACTAGATCGCATAAGGTGAAGTAATCTGCAAATACAAAAAGCGCAAAAAGAACGAAGCCCCGCGCTTCGAAACCAAGTTCCGAACCGACAAAAATGAACCCTCGAACAGGCGAGGTAGACTTAGTTCTGGCGAGGCCGTCACTTGGTGATTAATTCCCCTCCCCGCATCGCGCCAATACTGACGATGTGCAGGGTGTTGAGTGGTTCATTTCGACGATGGAAAAAACAAACGCAAATTTGTACACTGGTTTACAGGACCTCGGGCTTTCGCAATACCATGCACACCAAAGTTCCCCCCCACACAATCGCACATCTTTTCACCTAGTCGCCTCATGTGGACGATCGTTTCTGCTGCTGACTGTGCAGAACCATACATGTCTAACGACCACTAGGGAAGCGGCCTGTTCTACCTCTGGTGGCGTAAATTTTAATGCCAGCTCACATCTCATACCTTTTCCTATCTTCCTCATCTTCACTTGCCTCTCCAAAGCTTCATTCAATACGTTTCAGAAAATCTGTTTCAGGCATAGGGTATCCCTTTGATTCACTTACCACTAGCCTAGCAGTCTGCTAAAGGGATATCATCAGACCAGAACCTCAACCTCCAGCCTCAATACTCCCTGCCTAAGCCCTCGTAATCACTGGAATCACGCCCCATCGCCCTTCACCCATCCCATCCCCCCTCTCCTAATACGGTCCACACTCCACACTCCTAATCTTCGCATCAAACCGCACCGGCAGCATATCCGCCCTCGTCCAGCCATAACGCAGCACATCCCCGTCCTCCACAATCTTGCAATCGAGGTTCCTGGCGAGCGTCAGCGAGCCCATACGTTAGCTTCGCCCCCATTCAATCCTCCAAGCTCGAGACGTGGTGCGGAGGGGGATACTTACACATAGAAGTCACACCGATAGCCCGCCACCGTAACCAAGCTCCTGATCTTCTCGTCCCAGGCGTCGTCGAGGTTCGCGCAGCTGCTGGTGGAAGGCAGGGTGGTGGAGGTGCCGAGGAGGGAGGGGAGGGTGTAGACTGTTACTGCGGTGGTCTTAGGGTGTTAGTATTGGGGATGGTTGGTGGATGGTATTAGTAAGGAGAGAAGTGGGAAAGTTGAGACTAAGGTGGTGGGGAAGGGGATACATAGGGAGGGAGGGGTGAGGTTGAAGCGAGGGTTTATTTATGAGGTGCGAACTGGGATAATGGTAGGAAATGAGTGAAAGCGCATACCCTCTTCTGGATCGCAAGACCATTGACGATGGCTGCAGTTATAGCCACGCCGGCGAGGAGGAAGGTCGCAAGGCGCATGGTTGCTTCTGTCTCGTAGGTAAATATTTCCGAGGTTTCGAGGTAGGTATCTCAGTTGTTTGTAGGAGTGGAGTAATCGAGTTGACAAACACTGTGCGAGCTTAAGTACCTCAACCAAACCTAAAAGCCGGTCAAATACAAAGCAAGCACACGCTTATTCGCGGAAGCCGCAATGTTGCTTTTCACTACCTCAAGGAGCCCGTCCGCCCTTTATACAACAAAGCCGCAGCCCTGCAGCCCCGTTTCACGGTTCAAGGATCCATCCCCATCTCACCGTTTCACCACCAACGCTGTTCGGGAACGTTTATATGCTGTGCTACGGACCTCGCGTGGTATGAACCCCTCCCCTCCCTACTCACCCTAGCGATCCGTTCATACCTCCTGGATCCTCGTCCATCCTACCCGTCTCCCTTAGACTTCTCCACTCCAACACTAGTGGCGATGGACAGGCCTATAGTAGCAACAATCCCCTCCCACAGCTCCATAGACTGCACACTCGGGAGAAGACTTGATTGAAGAACGTAATTCCCCAACCAGCCTTGTTGCTTCCATGTTTCAGAACGTCGTAGTGGCGCCCGCCCTCCTACCCAACACAGACGACAACCTCCGCTTCGAGGTCCCCAGTACCCAGTCGCCGTTATCCAGGTAACCCGCGTCTAATCCATCACCGGGAAAGGGAAATGTGGGCAGTGGCATGTGGCAGGTGCAGCCGATACCACACCATTCCACCCGTAGCTTTCGAAGGCTTTCGAAAAGAAGGCAGAGAACCGGCTCTAGGGACGCACTAGGAAATACACCTGTGCAATCTTTCTTGCCAGCATTGATCCCGGCTCGCGGTTTCTAGAACCCCAGTCTCACAGCCCAAGCGCACGCACATAATCCTGCGATTCAATCATTAACAGAACTTCTTTTTATTCGTCTCACTTTCTTCCGTCCGTCCTATCTGTGGTACTAACGTCGCTCGCTCACGTGGCCTCTTTACCAGATCCGCCTATGACCCAAACCACAGCCCGTCCTGATCATCCTTTCCCAGCTCGCCGTAACAGAGCGCCGTGGATGGTAGGCACAGGCTGGGGCGGCGGGTAGCAAGCCAGCATCCCACTTTCGTTTATCCCTCCCCCTTCTTCATCGCGCCTCAGATTTCGATTTCCTGACGCTTCCAACTACAAAATCACACGCAAGAAAAAAAAAAGCCAAGACGCCGGGCAAATGGTTACAGCAACAAGTGGACAAAAGGAATCCCGTTGGATATACCGGTACATGAAAACACAAGGAGGAGAGGATAAGATAATCGAGCCGTGGTGCGTGGCTTGACTATTGTTTGAGGTTGGTTTGCGGTTTTAAGAAAGTCGTTCGTCGACAGGCGGGATGGTAAAATAATTAATACGACAAGCCAAGTATTTGGGTATCGCGCGAAGGAAGTGTATAAGCTGAGACTTTGGCTGCGGAGTGCCGTGGCGGCGGCGGCGGCGTCGGAGGTGATAGCGGCGAGGTGTCGTGATGGACGGGAAATCGCGTTTCAAGGGTATCCAGCCTCGACTCTCGAGCTTTTGAATTGAACAAAGACAAGTAGATATCCGTCGTGACCGTAGTCAATCTGCGAGGACTCCAGAGAAGGTAAAGAGACTCCAGAGGATCAAGGAAATATAGTCATGGCAAGAGTCGTAAAGAGGCCAGGAGTTCCAGTCTCCGAAACCTATAGCAGGATCAGGTAATTGCTGGGCGCAATGCCGGTATCGCCATTCGGCTTCTTCGCTTGCCACCACCGCCCACTGACGTCTGATACTTCTAGAATGTCGTGCTTCTGGAAGCTGATTTCGTTGGCGTCGTCTGGGTTTGCTTCGTAGCTGTAGATTGCCTTGGCCCGGTAGGGGTATTCCGTAGCGGGATCTTGACCGGCGGCGGGGTCATGTGTTGGTGTCTGCACTTCTGATGTGTTGCCCATGTTGGAGGCACCAAAGCGGGGTTGAGACGAGTTGCGTTGATCCATTCCGCCGACAGGTCCGCCTGGGTAGCCGGAAACAGGTGAAGAGGTTTCGAACCCGTTCAGTTGAGCGGATGTGTACATCTGCGGCTGCGGGTTGGCAGTCACGGATGTGTCTGGTCGGTAGTTGTTGGACATTTGTCGGGAGTTTCGCGAGCCCTGGGCTTCCTTGTGCAGAGCATATGAATCGACAAAGGCGCGGTGGCTGGCTTGCGGCTGGGAGCCAAAGTAGAAGATCCAGATGATCTAGTCACGAATCAGTATGAGCCAATGAAGACTAAACATGGTTCCTTACCGCGATCATAGAAAGAAGAATGAAGCCTGCGGCAGCGGCTTCGAAAGCGGCTACAGAGGAGTAGACGAGGGAATTAACGGCCGACGAGGTAAAGACCAGTCCCGCAGCCAGGAAACCAACAATCTAGATGATATCAGCACGCGCCTATAGAGCAATTATGGGATGGCGTGACATACGGCAACATGGTAGGTATGTGTTGAGTCGGACGCTATTGTCACGGTGACGCCAATAACGCAAAGGAGCATGTAACTCAGCGCCCACCAGGCGAAGTTAGGGAAGCCGCCGTGAACGGCAGAGATGATGGAGCTAATGAAGGCGATGATCCAGGCGAGCTAGGATTGTCAGCATCATTCAGCCTTACTGGGTCGAGCGAGCCGTGGGACGCGCGGAGCCTTACCATGCCAATGGAGATTGTTGCCAACGCGAAGGGGTCGCCAACGATACGGCCAAAGGAGAATGTCTGGCGATTGCCGCCATAGCTGTTACCGTTTTCCATTTTGCGGAGCGATGGCGAAGGAATGGAGCCGTAGGATGGCATGAAGCTGAACAGCGCGGATTGCGGAGGTAAACAGGCGGTCGCAATGAGGTTGGTGACGGGCGACGGCAGCTGGGTCGAGACTCGCTCGTGGAATGGGTGCTGCGTGGGCGAAGAGAAGCGTATTAAAGAGACTTGTATGCGGTAGTGAGGTGGTGTTCAGCGCCTGGCCGGAGTCGAGGTCGAGGGGCGATGGAGGGCGTTTGGGTGATGTTTGCGGCGCAAAAGACGACAGGCGCAGCGACAAAGCGGAGTTGGGGTGCGAAAAACGAAGGGAGAGCCACAACCAACGGCTACTGGGAAGAAGACAGCGGCTGTAGGAGGTTGTTGAGTGCTGGGCGTGGTTTGTCGAGGTGAGAGGAGAAGAGGCCGACTGGCAAAGGAGGGTCAGCCAATTCCGGGGGCGGCATACGAGCCAATCGCTGCCCACTAGAGGTTTCAAGCGTCGCAGGGCTCGATGCGACGCCGCCGCCGAGGAGTCTGCCCGTGGCGCGCGTTTAGGCAATAAATAGAGACAATGGACAGTGGGTGGAGGGCGTCTCTTTGTTGCGTTCTATATTCTACTTGCTATCTGCTGTCTACAAGCTGAGGCGGGGCTCAAAGCAGCCCTCATCGAAGGCGCAAAAGAGGGCAGCAACCTGGCACACTTGGAATTGGCTCGAGCAGGCCGCCGCCACAGTAGGGATTAATTAGATTGGATTGTGGCGCATCAGCCTAATTTCCAGCATTGCATTGTCCAGGCCTCGCCCGCTGCTGGCTGAGTGGTGCTTAATATCCCCCGTGATCCCTTCTCTGCTCCCATCAACTTCTTCACTACTTGCCGTCCTTTGCGCCTGCGTGGCACCTGTGTTC